TCTTTACAATCACACATTTGCTGGAATGTATAGAAATTACAAGTTGTCTATATTTGTTCAAATAATAGATAGTATTTATCAAAAAAATTGACTCTACTTCAGAATGCAGGCTTAATAGCTCTTTTCTAACCAGGAACATCTCATGACTATGAGAAGATCACACAAAGTTTCTTGAGAAACAAAACCACAAAAATAACTTGTAGAGAGGCTCCATTACTATTAATATCAAATGAGGATTAAAAACATGAGATATATGTTCAAAGTTGTTCACTGCTATCATTTGTACCTCCTATGGAAGATATAAATGAAAATTAAATTCTGTACATATCATACGCTCCTCCAGATGTTAGTGTTTGTAACTGATCAATCAACACTGTGATTAGTACTGGAGATACAAAAAGGGGCAAAAGACAGTCCTTGCTCTCAAGGAACTTATAATCTAATGTGCAAACAAATCTTTGAAAAACAAGTTATATACAAGACTGCAAGAGAAAATGCTCAAAGCCAAGAGATGGAGTGTCTTTTTCATGGAATAATAGGAGGCTAGCCTCCCTGGATCAAAGAGTATGTGGTGGGTATTAAGTTGTAAGAAGATTGCAAAGGTAGGAAGGGCTTAGATTATGAAAGGCTTTGAATGTCAGAGGATTTTGTATTTGATCCTGGTAGCAATAGGGTCTACTGGAGTTTATTGAATGGGAGGGAGGGAGTGTGTGACCTGGTTGGACCTGCCCTTTAGACTTTGGTGTCTGAATGGAGGATAGATTGGAATGGGGAGAGTATATGAGACAGGCATATCCACTGGCAGGCTTTTGCAGTGTTTCAGGTGTGAGATGTTGAGGTCCTACACTAGAGAGGTGGCATTGACAGAGGTCAGTTGAGAGGTTGGGGCTTGAGAGGTAGATTTAAAAGTCATCAGAATAAAGATGGTATTTAAATCTATGGGTGCTGATGAGATCACCAAGTGAATTAATATAGGGGAGAAGTGAAAAAAGCTCAGGACAGAACCCTGAAGACACCTACAGTGAGTGGTCATATTAGCAAAAAGAGAACCAGGAGAGAGTGGGGCCCTAAAAGCCTAGAGAGAAAAGGGTATCAAGGAGCACAGGGTGATCAACAATATCAAAGGCTATAGACAGGACAAGGATGAATAATGACAACTGACATTCATATAATTCTTTTTTTTTTTTTTACTTTTAAAAAATTTTCACATTAGTCATGTTGTAAACGTTCTTTTAATTCTTGAAAGTTTGAAAAGTTTTTCACCCACATTATCTCATTTGTTTTTGTAACAGAACAATCTTGAGTAAGTAGTGCAATTTTCATTCCCATTTTACAAATAAAGAAGCTGAGACTCACTGAGTTTAAATAACTGGCTCATGGTTGTGCAACTAGTAAGTGTCAAAGACAATATTCAGACCCAAGTCTTCATGACTCCAAGGCCATAACTCTAGTCACTGTACCATTATCCAAACTAAGCCATGTAGTACCCTGGGTTAGTACATCAGTATATCCAGTGATCTCATTTTCCCAAGTAGCTTTAAGTTGCTCTGGGAGTTGTCTGAGAGGCTATTAGGTTTTCAGACTTAGGAGAAGAAGTCAAATTTTTAGGGAAAAAACTGTCCCTTGTTTTTGTTATCATCTTTTTCATTTTAGTGCTTCTGTATTAAATCTTAAAACCTTATAAACATAATATTTGTAATGTATAGCTCTGCGTATGGAATTAAAACTAAAATATATTTTTTTACCTGCCTATTGCCTATAGATTGGCCTCCTAAGTAGTTATTATTAATGATGTTAATTAGCTAATATTGCCTTCTGAGAATATGAAAATTTCTTTTGTGAATATTTATGTCTCAGCATTAAGTTTAAGATTACATTACTTCCGAATGTATAATGCTTTAACTCTTCATTGAATCTGTGATCTTAACTACATAGGTATTCCCTCCGTTGGCATTAATTGCAATGTATCCATACTTTCCTGTCTTGTGTATCTCTTGTCTAGTTTCTTCCTTAGATTCTCCAATAAGGATCCAGCAACTGACCTGGATTTTTTCCTATAGGTCTTTTTGCAATGAATATGTACTATTGCCTGACTTAAGTTCATCATCTGTCATCCCTTGTTATTACCACACTACAGGGGAGCCCTGATTTCTTTTGTCTTTTTTTAAAAAATAATTTTTATTAATGTCTTTTACATTACCCAGATTTTTCCCACTTTCTCTTTCCCCTTCTAGGGAACCATTCTGCATAACAAATAATATTTTCTAAGGAAATAAAAAAAGTAGTAAGAGAAAAAAAGTTAAAGAAACCAATCAATACATCCAAAAGGTCTGAGAATATATGAAATGTTCCACATCTGTGGAACTGTCTTTGCAAAGTAGTTTCTTCACAAATATCTTCTTTGGAGCTGTGCTAATTTTCCTACTTATTTTGAACAATCTTGTCAGGTTTTTAATAATTTTTCTCTTTCTTCATCCTCTGTAACAGATGTTGGTATTTAAACTTTAATTATCTTTAGGTTAGTCTGTTTTTCTTCTTTTCCTTCACTCCCAAATTTTATGAGAAAATGACCTAGTGTCCATGACATGATGTTTCTTGTTGTATATGAATGGTGAAACCAAAATCTTTGTTTTCTTCTCCAAGGAATACTTATGTTGTATCATTCAATTTAGTTTGAACTTCATTTTGTCTTTTTTTTAATCCATCTACAGAGTAGCAATGCAGATTTTGTCCAATTTTTTCAATACTTTGTCTATTTATTTTCACAGGATAAGGATATCACCTTTCAAGTATACTTCAAGTATATACAGTAAAATTAATGTTTGTAGTTGGTCTAAAAATAATAACTCTTGTACTCTGTCTCCTTTTGTGCCATTCCATTATGATCACATTGGAAATGGAGGGGGGAGTATTTCTTGTTTATTTTTTCTATGGGCTGTTGTGGTGGGTTGTGTGAACAGCATTACTAGCCAAGCTCCTAAGTTGATAAGATTACATACATATTCATGTTTTTCAGAGTTAACATGGCCAATAAATTCATCACCAAACGGCCAACATCCTGGTGATGAATCTATACATGTTTATCTAAGTTGCTTTGTAGATAGCAGACTCAGTCTATTTCTAGGACTTCTACTTTTAAGTCTTTTCAGCATGGTAGAACTTGAGAAGTTTTAATTCTGTTGTTTTAGATTTTTCAAACCCAGGGGCACCTTCATACCTGGAGAACATATTGGAATAGGAGTTATGGGAAAATATATATTATGGCAATCATTATTTTTGAGTGCTGACATTAGAACGGAATGAAATGTAATATAAGGAAATGTATTTATTTCCAGGAGGAAAATTAACCTTAGTAGCTCTAGCAAGTTTAAAAATGCTGCTTTAATTGTCTACTTTCTCGATTTCCAAAATCAAACAAGATATTAAGAACTATTAAGATGACAAAAAAGTATTTGAGCTGGGAAAGTACAATAAAGATTTCAAAGTTATTTTCAAGTCTAATAGAAAAATAATATTCCTCCATGAAAATTTGAGTAATTCTTTAATGAAAGCATACCAGTATACCACATGAACAATTATGTGTTTTTGTTTAATAATGTATTTGTAATGTAGTTGTAATTTTCTTTTGTAAAGTGTGTATGTATGTATATGCCTCCATATATGTTTGATAGTTTTCAAATTGTTTCAAATTCTTTGGTATTCTCATTTAAGTAAAAAGTTTAGACTGTTTTTTAAAAAAATGATGACTATCAAAGTTAATATAGAATTATGACAGAAATACGTGGAAACTTAGTTAATTCAAAATTGTGGTTCCTATGAATGTCACAGTGTATCATTGTGATTATGAATATTAAGTCCTTAATATTAGGAAATAGATTATGTGTTGGCTGCTCAGGTTTAAGGGACTGTAGCTATTTTCCAGTTCATTGCTACAACAGAGAAAAAGGCAAAAGGTTAACACTTTATCCATTATTCTCTTAATACTACACATGTATTTTCTAGGGACATAAACATTTTTTTTTAGCTAAAAAAAGCCTCAATTTTTTGAGGCAAGCAAATGAGATTGCCACATTTAGATGATAATATGAAAAAGCTTAATTCTGTAATTGGTTATTAAGTATATTTGTTAAAACAATCTGTTGTATTTGAAGTTTGTATATGAAAATTAGTAACTGAAATATGACTTGGCTGAAGTACTGATAAGTTAACAAAAGAATTTTTTCAATTTGATTTTTCAACTTGATGGTTTCCCCTTTATAATTAAGAATAACTTTATAATATGATGGTATTTCCAGGAGAAGATATTTTCTAATATTCTATTTTAATTTTCTAGGATTAGACTGGTTTAAAAGAAAGCAATAAAAATGAAGGAAAATTATTGTTAATGTTAACAAAATCAAAATGGAAAATCTCCTACAAATTGAGCCAGTATTTCTTTTTCCTGATCCTTCATTCAGATTTAGAATATTTTAATAATGATTTTAAATAGTTACTTTAAATTTTTTAGCAACTTGTTTTTAAATTGAAAAATTTTATAATTGCAAAGTAATGCATTTAAAAGATAAGAGATCTTTTCAATCAACTGCAGAAATTTCTTGAAGTGTTTGTAAGATAGATACTGTGTCATTTCTTTGTTGACAAACTATTTTATATTTTCGTGATGCAGAAGAGAAATATTAGAATGGATTAATATTAAAGCCTGTCACACCATTAAGAAGCCTTTCACTTCTTTGTACTGCAATTAATTCCCCCTCTTTATTATTACTGTTACCTTCATTATTACCAATAATTCTAGTAACAATAACATTAAACCAAATACAGGTAGAATTGAAAGAGAAGCTATTTTTTGCTTGCTTTTCCTTTAGAAAACAAAGTGGCAAGCAAGGTGTGTTTGGATGAATACTAACTTACTGTTGACAAAGTATTATGCTTGATTTAAGTTTGATGATAGCTTTTCTCAGCTTGGTTTAATTATTGTTTTTTTTTTTGTCACCTGGTAGTTAAGAATTCGAGACCTCGAAGGAGCCTTGCAAGTAGAAAAGGTGAGCCAAGCAGAAGCTGTGGCTGATTTGGAAATGATCAGGAATGAGTTCAAAGAAGTTGAAAGTGCATATGAGCGAGAAAAGCATAATTCACAAGAGACCTTTGCAAAACTAAAAATGTAAGTTATTTTACAGTAACATTTTCTAAATTGTTATAAAGATTTTATGAAACATGCAGAAGTATGATTGTGTAGTTGTTTCCTGACGGTGTTCTCATTAATGAGAGTGAAAGATTGTATAAACCAAACGCTTAGCTTACTACCTACTTATATTGTTTTTTTTTGATGTTCAGAGTATCATATGTCATCTAGTCAAAATGTAATTTTAAGCTTCAAGCTCTTTTTTTTTTTGGTGTATCCTGTTAATTACATTGGGTATTCCTGTAGAAAAGTACCACTTTACCATTAAACTCTTAATTGATCATGGATGGAAATACAATACTGTTGAAGCTTACTTTAAGTAGTATATTTGACTTCCATAATCTTTAAGAACAGTCATTCTCAACTATCATTCCCTGATGCTGAGATTGCTAATATAATAAATATTATGGTACTGTTGCTATCTTTAAGCAACCTCATTGCCAACTTTATCATTTTATTAAAACTGTTCTTTTCAAGGTCTTAATTGTAAAATCCAAAACCTTTTTCTTATTCCTATTCTTCGTTGTCTTCTCCATAACGTTTAACACTTTGGGCTGCTCTCTCCTTCTGGATACTGTCTCCTCATTTGTGCTACATGGCACTAGTTTTTCCTCTTAGTTGTTTGATTTTTTTTGTCACGTTTGGTGATTTCTTTTTCTCCTTAAAATCCATGGGTATTCCCCAAGGCACAGCCATTTTTACTCTATTTTCTCTCTGAGAATTAAGAAATTTTCCACTATCAGGATTTGGGAAAGATAGAACTTTGTATTTTTTCTAAATTATTGAGAGTATAATTAAAAACTATTTCGATTTATCTAAATATTAGATTTTACGTTGTTGAAATTTATGTTCTGTCTAATGCCATTTTTCACCAAACTCCTATACTGTTTTCAGTTGTTAGGTGGCGTAGTGGATAAAGTGCTTGGCCTGGAGTTTGGAAGACCTGAGTTCAAGTATGACCTTGGGTCCTTCCTAGCTCTGTGATCTTGGGCAAGCCACTTAACCTCTAAGTTTGTCTGTTTCCTCATTTGTAAAATGGGGAATAGTAATAGCACTTACCTCCCAGGGTTGTTGTGAACATTGGTTGTTGTGAGCATCAAATGAGATAGTTTTTGTAAAAGCACACAGTGCCTGGCACATAGTAGGCTTTCTATAAATGCTAGCTTTTATTGTAATTAAATGTTGTTATATTAAGCAGTTTTTTAAACTGTTTTATTTAAATATATTTCTTCCACAGTAAGTTGCACTCTTTGTTTTATGGAATGCTATTCTGCTATTTGTATTTGATTCTCAATTTTGCTTATCTAATAATCTATTTTCCTGGTCAACTTTTTTATGAATCTGTCAGCATATATCACTATAGTTACTTGTTCCAGGGGTGAACATTATAATCCATTCATAATCTTCTCCTCTTGTGTGACTCTTGTTCCTGCCATCCTATAAATCTTCTGCAGGGTTCCTACCCAGTGTGCACGAAGCTTTCCTCTAGGTCTCTGAACATAATGTGTGATGCCAACATAGCATGGGGACTGTCTATCTGTTGTTATCCCTTACTCTTGCTACATTACTAGCTCACCTCTGTTTACAGCCATAGATCTTATCTTTTTTTTTTACAATTTCTTTTGATCAAATTGTTGTTGCTCTTGTGCCACACACAACTCATTTCACAGATTGTAGTATCAGAGGAAGAATGTTAAAAAGCTGGATTTTTGTTTCAGGGAGAAACTTGGAGTCATTATAAGTACTGTATAATTCTTCAGATGCAATTCAGCTCACTTTCTTCTATTTTGTTCTTTGCTCTGCTCATTGCTTATCTGCATTGTCTGCCCAAGCATGAGCTGCTAGACCAGCTCAGTGAGATTTTAAATTCAAGCTCATATCTTATTCTAGACCAGGAATTGGCAAACTATGGCCCATGCACCAAATCCTGCCTGCTGCCTATTTTTGTATGGCCTGTGAACTAAGAATTTTTTTTTTTTACATTTTTAGATTCAAAAACCTTTCTTAGTCCATGGGCAGTGCAGAAACAGATGGTGGTCAAGGTTTGGTCCTCAGACTATAGTTTGCTGACCGGCAGCTTAGCTGACAAGCATTCTTAATCAGCTTGATTTTTTCTGTATTGTTAGATTTAATTCTTTGAAGTAGTTCACTATTTTTAGGCCATTTTGACTTTGCATTGAATTTCCTTCTTGATATTGGCAAGCATATTTGATGAACATACCTATCCTTGTTTTATGTCTTGCTTGATATTAATATCTGAAAATTGAGGAAATTTATTCTTGTTGTTATCAAAAACTTTTATATGATTATACAAAATATGTAGGGTAGACATCTTGTTGAGAACATTTTTATTTTTTTGTTTTGCTCTTCTAGAACAAAATTCATTTTTATATTCTGTAAACATAGTGGAATATTATGTTAGCTGCATTTTAAAAGACATTTATGTAACTGGAAAGATGTATTCTTCTGTATCATATTATTCTCAAGTGCCTATCTCCTCCTTTCTCATATTTTCACCAAGGATATCATTGATCTAAGTGTAGATGATTCTTGTAAATAGTTTGTAGAGTTGAGAAAGTATTGATATGGGTTACTAATTATTACTGTCTGACTATATTTCATTTTAATTCTATATTTGATTCATTATTTTCCCCATTATATATATATATATATACATATATATATATATATATATATACATACATATATATATATATATATATATATGTATATATGTATTTAGAATCAGTTACTGCCCTCAAAACTGTGTCACCTTCAACTCAGATCTCTCTCATATGTACATGGTTTGATATAGTTACTCTTCTAAACTTTCCTTTCTATAAGAGTACCATTTCTGTTTTTGCGTGCAGCACAGAGGCGTCAAACACTCAATGGGCCATGTTGCGGTCTGCATCACTCCAGAGGGTGTCTCTGACCAGATTAAAATGTAATTAGGAAATATTTAACAAAATAAGTAAAAATATAATATTAACATGGGATTTTCTAAGTCAATTTTAAGACAGCAGGGATCTATATATATATGGTTTAATGACTCACTTTTTGAGTTTCACACCATTGATGTAGCATCTTGAGAGTATGAATTTAGAATTCAAATATAGTGATATTAAAATCCCAAAATTATTGAAGAAGTTTGCTGTAGAAGTGTTGACTGATTTTTTCCATTTTTTCAACTTTAATTTTTATCTTTAAATGCTTTGAGAATGGTCTCAGTTGGTTGTCATGCAGAATATCATGCAAATGCATTTTTGTTACTGTCTTATGATGTAATACTGTTCATAATCTTAGAGTACTGTCTCTCTAAGATTTTGCAGGTGAGTTCATATTCTATATTGAAGTTTCAAATACTTGAAAGCAAGAATTAAGAATTTGGCATTTTCAAGGTTCTTTTGTCTTCATTATGCTGATGATTGCTTTATACTTCTTGAATGAGCTGAGGAAATGATGATTGCTTATATCAATGTCTTTTCTTCAGTTATCACTCAAGTTGTTAAAAACTTGTTCAAAATATATCAGGTTGGAGTTATTTTAGGTGTATGATACATTTTCTCTTCATTCTTATTAGTTCTTCTAGTTTGCTGTTGATATTGAACTTAGCTTTAATATGTTAATGGAATAAATTTATGCAGCTATCTGATTTGGAAATGGGCCCCATCTCAGCAATCTATTATTTTTTCTGTGTTAAGAGACAGTTTCCTTTTTGTGTGTAATATTATTCATTGCTCACCATTTCTAGGCCTTTTGAAACTCTTTTTACCCCCCTTTTTTTTTTGGCGAGGCAGTGGGGTTAAATGACTTGCTCAGGGTCACACAAGCCAGTAAGTGTTATGTGTCTGAGGCCAGATTTGAACTCAGGTCCTCCTGAATCCAGGGCCGATGCTCTGTCCATTGTGCCACCTAACTGCCCCTGAAACTCTTTTTAGGATTTATCATGATCATCAGGAGACTTTGGTATAGACTATATGCCTCTTGTATTTCTTAATCCTGAGTAATATTTTCCAGCACTTTGGCATCTTCCATTATGTTTATGTTTGTATTGATGGCAAAAGCATTAAAATATATTCTGATATATATTTTGATATATATTCTGATATAAGCTAACCCCTACAATTTTAATATGGAAGTAGAGGAAATCTGGGTATAATCTAATGCATATGTGGGAGAGCAGATTTCAAAGGGCTCAGTGAAAGAATGTGTAGGATCCCATGGCCCATGGCCCAGATTCTGGCAGAGGAAGTCAGCTCAGGATGGTAGTAATCCCTCAAGAATGACATTCTGTAACTGTAAAGAATAGAAATTCTTGTGAGCAGGAAAAAAATGGGAGTTGTCACAAGCAACTAACTATGTGGTGCCGGAAGCAACTTACAACCTAACCTGCTCAGCTGAATTTAAAGGAAATGGATACAATCCCAGGTAACAGAAGGTGGCTACAAAAATATAGTGCCGTCTTATGAGAATAAGGTTAGAAATGCAAAGAACGCTAAGGATGGGGAAAAAACCTTTTAAAATCTATGTTCAGGAAAAGACAAAGTGTGTGATTGTTACCTAGAGTGGGAAGGATGATAAATGGTGAGGTATAGAAGGCAAAGCTATGCTATTCCTATTTTGCTTCTATTTTCTCTGACAATGAGAATGATTTTTGACTTTGGAGAAAGAGATGGCAAATAGGCAATTTATATTTGTATTAACTAAGAAGATAGTCAAGGAACAGAGTACTTAACTGCTTTTGGTCAATTCAAGTCCCCTGGCCCAAATGAACCACATCCTAAGATACTGATAGATCTGGCAGTTGTAAGCTGAACCCCAGCTAGTAATCTTTCAGAGATGGTAGAGTATGGGAGGAATCAGAGAAGGATAGAGGTCCTGATTTTCAAAAAAAGGGAAATTAATGGACAATATGGACTATGAGCTTGACTTTGATTAATGGACAAGTTCCAGGATTAATGCGATAGTTACAGAACATCTAAAAAGAAAGTAGTAGTAGAGAGCCAACACAGCTTCTTCTAGAATAAGTTATTCTAGATTAATATTATGTCTTTTTCTTTTGTTTTGGAAATTGTTACTGAACTTCTGTTAGGTCATGGAAAGATTGTAGATACAATTTAAGTCATTTGTTACTATTATTGTGGACGTGATGGAGAGATATAGGTGAGATGATAATACAACTAGCTGGATTTAAAATTCGTTGAATGACCAGATCCAAAGAATACTCATTAGTGGTTTGATATCAGCTTGTAAGCACCTCTTCAGTGGAGTAGCTTATGATGTATTCATGTCTCTGTTCCATTTAACATTGTTTAGTAGTTATGACTCATGGGCATTGCTTTTTAACAGATTTGCAGAGATCACAAAGATGGGCAGTATAGTTAACTCCAAAGATAGCAATATCAGAATCCAAGGAAGATTTTGACAGGTGAGAACACTGGGATGAGTCAAGTGAGATGAATTTTAATAAGTACAAAGTCTTAGATTTGGGTTAAAAATATCAACTTTACACTTGCAGGATTAGGGAGGCATGGCTAAATAGCAATTTGTATGAAAAAGAATTTGGCACTTAGTGGACTACAATCTCATAACTTAGTAGCTAACATGTGTATGACAGCCAGCAAAGCTAACGTGTTCTTAGAACACGTGAAGAGAGGCATAGTGTCCACTCGATGAGAGTTTTTAGTCCCACTGTACCCTTCCCTTCTCAGACCACATTTGGAGTATCGTGTTCAGTCTGGGCAAAGCCAATCTACACACTAACAAACTTTACATTGCTCTGAGTTGGGTAATCAGAATTTGAAGAACTTCAAGTTCATACCTTATGAATATAGACAGAGGAATGAAGTATGAAGGACAGAGTATGAAGAAGGGAAATACTGGCAGGGCTGTGATATTCTTCAGGTATTTAAAGGATTGTCTCATAGAAGGTAGGTTAGATTTGTTTTGGTTGGCCTCAGAAGTCAGATCTCAGACCAATAGGTAGAAGTAGTAAAATCACAAATTTAGGTTTGATGTTCATCATTGGTCCTCTGGAATTGTGGTTAGTTACTACATTGATCAGCATGCTTAAGTCTTTCAAAATTGTCTTTTACAATGCTCATGTTCATGTATAGATTGTTTTCCTGGTTCTCTTTACTTCACTGTACATATTTTTTCCCAAGTCTTCCCTGGTCCATCTTTTCTGTCATTTTTTCGAGCATAATATTATTCTGTAACATTCATATACCACAATTGTTTAGCCATTCCCCAGTTGTTGCACACCAGCTGAGGTTCCAGTTCTTTGCCACCACAAAATGAGCCAATACAAATTTTTGTCCATATGTGTATCCTTTTTCTCTTTATCTGATCTCTTTAGGGTATTAGGCCTACTATATCCTCAAACTAAAGGGCATGTACAGTTTAGTAACTTTTTGGGGCATAGTTCCAAATTGCTTTTCACTGGATCAGTTCAGTGCTCCAACAGTGTATTAATGTGTCTGCTTTCCCACAGCCCCTCCACCATTTGTCATTTTACTTGTTGTTTTCTTTCCCAACCTAATGGATATGAGGTAGAACCTCTGAGTTTGCATTTCTCTGATTATTAGCAAATAGAAGCATTTAAAAATATGGCTATTGATAGCTTGGGTATCTTCCTTAGTAAATAGCCTTTTGATATCATTTGACAATTTATCTGAGGGGGAATGGCTCTTGTTCTTGTAAATTTGAGTCAGTTCCTTATATATTTTAGAAATGAGACCCTTATTAGAGAAACTTCCTGTGAAGCTTTTTCCACTTATCTATTTCCCTTCTAATTTTGACTATTTTGGTTTTATTTGTGCAAAACCTTTTAAATTTTATTCAATCAAAATTGTCCATTTTATTTTGTTAGCTTCTCTGTTCCTTCTTTGATCATGAGTAATTCTGCTACTCAAACTTCCAAAGGTAATTCTTTACTTTTTGAATTGGTTATGAAATGACCTTTCTCTAAACACATATATCCATTTGGAACTTATCCTGGTATATAATGTAAAATATTAGTCTATACCTAATTTCATTCATTACTTTCATATTAAGTAGCCACTCTGAATATTGCCCTCCTTGTTCTACTTTTTTTAACTCCAGATCCGTTTGTATAAGTCTTCCCTTGTTTTTCCAAATTCTTCATATGCATTATTCTATATGGTATAGTAATAATTTAAACATTTATGTAATACAGATTTTTTTATTATTAAAGAAAAAAACAAAAGTCGTGACGAATCTCTTGGTACATAAGGGACATATTTTTTTTCTGTCATTCACCTCCTAAGGGCATCATGATACCAACAAGCATTTATTAAGCTCCTAGTATCTTCCCAGCATTGTTTTAGGGACTAGGGCTACAAACACAAAAATGAAAGAATTTGTTGCCTCAAGGAGCTTACATTTTGTCAGCTAGGAAAGCATGTACATATAAAAATAAATTAAATATCTATAAAGAAAATATAGAACAATTGGAGGCATGGACTAGTAGCTGAAAGGATTAGGTAAAGCCACCTTTAAGAGGTAGCTCTTGAGGTGTTTTAAAGGAAGCTAGGGATTCACAGAAGTAGAGTTGAAGAAGTGGTGCATCATAGGCGTACGTAAAGATGGCATTTCATGTGTGAGCACCAAGAAGTAGGGTAATTTGACTGGAATGGATTGTGTGTGTAGCTTGGGAAAATAGGCTGGGACTTTATTTTTGTCTTTCTTTGTAGGCCTAGTGCTTAACATTGTGCCCAAATATAGGAATTGCTTAATAAATGTGTGCTGATTGATTTTATTGGAGTCAGTTTGTGATGGTCTTTAACTTGCAACCAGAGAAGTCTGTATTTTATTCAAGTAGCAATAGGGCAAGTAACATGGTCAGACTTCTGCTTAAGCAATAGCAATCTATATCATTACCTGACTATAAAAGAATTCACTTCTTTCATTTATTAACAAGATTTTAAGGATGTTCTCTGAGTATATTAAAATATAGGTTGATTTAATTTATAGGCTCTTAATGACCTTTTTATAGAATTTCTGTATCTTCTCATCCTTTGTAACATTTATTGGTACGTAAATTGCAAGTATCTTCTCAGTGGTTTTTTTTGCAAGTGTTTATCATGTCATTTGCAATAAGATAAATATAATGTATTTAGGGAGTGGCTTTTTATTAATATAGCAATATATATTTTTCTTTGTCCTATTATAACACTGTTATATTATGATCCATGAAACTGGGGATCTGCTGAGGAACTTCTGTTACATGTGTCTGGAATCACTCAAATCTAGATTATACACACAGGCACACACACATATGTACACATATGCATATGTAAGTAAACAATTATTATTAGCATGTATGTCATACATTTTGTGGATGATCTTCATAAAATTTTAAATTTGAAAGTGGATTTTCTCTTTCAAACAGTACGCTTTTCACCCTCCTTTCACCATGAGTTTGCTAAAATATGTAAACTATGATATCATCATTAGGACAGTAAATCTTTTGGACTCAACATCGTATAAGGAATCCGAAGTTGATTATAAATTTTGTTTTGCTTATCTGTGTCATTTTACTCTTTTAATTAGTATGCATGGAGAGTACTTATATGTGACTTCTACAATTCTGTTATTTTTACTTTGAAAATGGTCAAGTGAGACAATTCCTCAGTTTTGCAGAAGCTTCTAAGATAATGTGGTATGTCCATCAAATATAATTTGGAGGCCTAACCAGCACCACCAAATCTGTTTTATTTATAATCCCAGGCACAGTACAAACATATAATAACATAAGGGGAGGTACCATTTCTTTAAAATCTTTCATTTTGGTGTATAGAATTCTTTTTATTAAAAAAAAAAGAAAGGTAACCTTAAATGCCTGATGGCATGAAAACGTGATATATAGTACACCTGTCAGTTCTGTTAAGGTTGTATAATAGCCATTGACAAAAGTATATTTGAAAAACCTGCTTTGACACTTTCCTTTTTCAGATTAGAAAGAGAGTGTTTCTCTAAAAACAAGAAACTAAATGAAGAGATCGAGGAACAGAAGAAAGTAATTATGGACCTCTCAAAGAGACTTCAGAGTAATGAAAAAAGTTTAGGTGAATTACAGGAAGAACTAGCAGTGGTAAGGATAAAAATATACCCTATGGTACTTACTTTATTGGGTCAAAAGTTGATGTGTTGTGGGGTTTTTTTATGCCACAAGCTAAGAGTTTTATGAAAATAACTTTACTGACATATTGAGATAAAATTTCAAAATGGTTATCTTGGATATGCTAGCTTAAGTCATAGTAACTAATAAATATTGTAAGGGTCACTAATTTGAGTTTTTTTTTGTGTTTGGGAGGGGAGGGACAAGTATGATATAGTGACATGTGTCTTAAGGCATGGAATTCTTTTAAAAAAATAAATGCAATGCAAGCTTTCTTTCCTTTAAATGCATAAATCTTAACTCCTCCAAGTTCCTAAAAGCATATATGGGGTAGTGGAAAGAGAACTGGCAAAAACTGAGAAGAAATGCTTTCTCTACTACACTTATATTGCATGACTTTCTTCAAGACATTTTACCTACCTAATCTTAATTGGTAAAAACCGAGAGTGTAGACTAGATGATCTCTGAACATTCTTTCTACTTAACATTGAATGATCTGTGACCTTGAAGTTCTCCTGTAACTCTTTAGTTTGGTTGCTCATGCGTATCTGCTTCTCCCATCCAGTTTGCTTACTTTTCCCACAGAAAAAGAGTATAACTGATAGTAGGTGATAGAGCATAGATTTAGCACTAGCAGGAATGTTCTAGATTACTTAGTCTAACCCCTCATTTAACAGATGGTGGAACTGAGGCCTAGAGAGGCCGAGTAACTAGTCCCGGATCATACATGTTAGAAGTGGTAAAACTGGGATTTGAACTTGTATCCTTTGACTCCCAAATTTAATATTCTTTCCCCTGCCTCGTGTTTATCCTTGTTTCACTTTACTGTTAGTATTATTCACCTTCACGATCATTACTTCATTGTCAGTAACTCTTTCATCACCAAAGATTTTAGTATGTTTTAAAGAAGTTTACAGTATTTTGTCTTTATAGCTTCCTAGGTGGAAAGGTAAGGTCTCTATAGCAACTCATGCCTGAGTGAAATTTTTTTAGTTCTACTTGAATTGCCCCCAATGTCTGGTTAACTTTTGCTTGCGTCCTGGCCACAATTGGGTATATCTGGTGTACTTTGAGTTTGAGGGAATTTTTGACAGTTTGTATGAATTTGAAATTTTATCAGAGAGCTTTAGACACAACGGCGGGTTGTACTAGACTTTCCTGCCGTTGACTGACCAACCGACTTGCTGAATTTGAGATGTCTGTTGGAAATACAGTTTGAAATGTCCAATAGGCAGCTGTTAATGCAGTACTGTAGCTCAGGGGAGAGATTAGGGATTGATTAGCTCATTGGCATAAAGATAATAATTAAATCCATGAGAATTTATGAGGTCATCAACAGTGAAAGTGGAGAAATGAAGGGAGGCAGAAGGAGCAAAGGAAAGAGAGGGGAGTAGAAAGGTTGGTGGAAAGGGATAGGTGAAGAGACAGACAGAGACAGAGTAGGGCCTAGGACAGAATCTTTGGGAACACTCACAGGTAGGTGCTATATATAGATGATGAGCTAGCAAAGGAAAGAAGAGGAGTAGTCAGTGAGGAGGAGAATCAGGAGAGAGTAATGTCATGAAAATCTAGAGAAAAAAGAATATCCAGGAGGAGAGGATGGTCAGCAGTATGGAATAGAGCTGATGAATTGAGAAGGATGAAGAATGAGAAAGATAGTTGAGATCTGATTTGACAAATAAGATCATTAGTAACTTTGTAGTGAATTCAGCTTAGTTGAATGATGAGTTTAGAAACCAAATTGCAAAGAGTTAAGGAGTGAAAAGAAAGGGAAGTGGAAATAGGAATTGTAAATAGGCTTTTTAAAAAAAATTAATTTATTTTTAGTTTTCAACATTCACTTCCACAAGATTTTGAGTTCTACATTTTCTCCCCATCTTGTCCTTCCTCCCACCCCAAGATGGCATGCATTCTGAATACCCCTAATCTGCTATCTCTGTCTCCCCCCCGCCTTCTTTTATCCCCTTCCCCTTCAGTTTTCCTGTAGGGCAGGACAGATTTCTATACCCCATTTCCTGTATATCTCATTTCCCAGTTGCATGTGAAAACAATTTTTTAAAAACTTTTATTTTTAAAATTTTGGATTCCGAATTTTCTCACTTCTTCCCTCCCCACCCACCTACCCTTATTGAGAAGGCAAGCAACTCCATACAGGTTATATATGTAGTCATGTAAAACACTTCCATAGTAGTCATGTTGTAAAAAACTAAGTATATTTCCCTCTATCCTATCTTCCCCCCCATTTATTCTATTCTCTCTCTTGACCCTGTCCCTCCTTAGAAGTATTTGCTTCTGATTGCCCCCTCCCCCAGTCTGCCCTCCCCTCTGTCATCCTCCTGCTGTCTTGTCCCCTTCCCCCCTGTTATCTGTAGGGTAAGATAGATTTCCATACCCAATCGAGTGTGAATGTTATTTTCTCCTGAAGCCAAATCTGATGAGAATAAGATTCACTCATTCCCTCTCACCTTCCCGCATTTCCCCTCCACCATGAAAGCCTTTTCTTGTCTGTTTTATGTGAGATAATTTACCCCATTCTACCTCTCCCTTTCTTCTCCGAGTATCATCATCTCTCACCCCTTAATTTTATTCTCTAGATATCACCCCTTCATCTTCAACTCACCCTGTGTCCTCTGTTTATCTATCTATCTAACTAACTATCTATCTGTCTATCTATCTATCTATCTATCTGTCTGTCTGTCTGTCTGTCTGTCTGTCTATCTATCTATCTATCTATCTATCTATCTATCTATCTGTCTATCTATCTATCTCTGTGTGTCTGTCTATCTATCTATCTATCTACACGTAAATACATACATATAATTTTTTCCCCTCCAACTACTCTGGTACTGATAAAGGACTCATGAGTTACAAATATCATCTTTCCATGCAGAATGTAAACAGTTCAGCCTTAATAAGTCTCTTTTAATTTCTCTTTCCTGTTTACCTCTTCATGTTTCTCTTGAGTCTTGTATCTGAAAGTGAAATTTTCTATTCAGCTCTGGTTTTTTCATCAAGAATGCTTGAAAGTCCCCTATCTCACTGAATGACCATTTTTTCCCCTGAAGGGTTATGCTCAGTTTTGCTGGGTAGGTGATTCTTGGTTGTAATCCTATTTCCTTTGCTCTGCAGAATATTATATTGCAAGCCCTCTGGTTTTTTAATGTAGAAGCTGCTAAATCTTGTGTTACCCTGATTGTGTTTCCACAATACTTGAATTGTTTCTTTTTGGCATCTTGTAATATTTTCTCCTTGACCTGGGAACTCTAGAATTTGGCTACAATGTTCCTAGGAATTTTCCTTTGGGGATCTCTTTCTGGAAGTGATCTGTGGATTCTTTCAATATCTATTTTGCCCTCTGGTTCTAAGATATCAGGGCAGTTTTCCTTGATAATTTCTTGAAAGATGATGTCTAGGCTCTTTTTTTGATCAATATCTTTCAGATAGTCCAATAATTTTTAAATTCTCTCTCCTGGATCTATTTTCCAGGTCAGTTGTTTTTCTAATGAGATATTTCACATTGTTTTCTAATTTTTCATTCTTTTGAATTTGTTTTACAGTGTCTTGATTTCTCATAAAGTCACTAGCTTCCAATTGCTCTATTCTAATTTTTAAGGAAGTATTTTCTTCAGTAATCTTTCGGGCCAATTTTGCTTTTTAAGGCACTCTTTTCCTCATTGGCTTTTTGGACCTCTTTTGCCATCTGGGTTAGGCTATTTTTTAAGGTGTTATTTTCTTCAGCATTTTTTTTTGGGTCTCCTTTAGCAAGCTGTTGACTTGTTTTTCATGCTTTTCTTGCATCATTCTCAGTTTTTCCTTTACTTCTCTTACTTGCTTTTCAAAATCCTTTTTGAGCTCTTCCATGGCCTGTGAGCAATTCATATTTTTCTTGGAGGCTTTGAATGTAGGAGCTTTGACTGTGTTGTCTTCTTCTGGTTGTATGTTTTGATCTTCTTTGTTACCAAAGAAATATTCTGTGGTCTGACTCTTTTTGTGCTGCTTGCTCATGATCCCAGACAGTTACTTGAGTTATAAACTCTTTGTTAAGGTAGGAGTCTGCTTCCAATGTACTGTCCCAAGCTTTGGGGTTTTGTGTAGCTGTTTTCAGAGATACTTCTAGGGACCTGAAATTTTTCAGTTTTTCCAAGGTGCTATCAAGGGTACTCCCTTCCTGGCCTGTGCTCTGGTCTGTGGGTGACCACAAGCACTCTTTTCTGTCTTGGAACTGTGAGGAGGATTTTCTCTTCACAGCTACTACAGGCTTCACCATGCCAGTGCTCTTCTTAGCCCCAGGACTGCCACCCAGAACTGTGACCCAGATCCAAGCACGTGGGAAAGCAAGAGATTTCTGCCTTAGCACTGGTAAAGAGATCCCTGCAATCCCCCTCTGATCAGCCACTCAATTCCCCCTCAGTCTGTAGGCTGGAAGCTCAGGAGGGAGCTGCTGCCCTGGGACCAAGCTTAGGGAACAGGGCTGGTACCCTGCGCTTCTCTCTCACCGCAGACACAGACTTTTCCTACTGACCTTCTAAGTTGTCTTTGGCGTTCATGAGTTGAGAAGTCTGGAAACCACCACAGCTGCCCATAATTCAGTCCTCTGAGGCCTGCTCCAGGTTTGCTGAGGTCTGCGCACCCATGCCGAACTGCTCTCCCATCTCTGCCTTGCATGATATACCTTTCTGATCAACCATCCAGGTTGTCTTGGGCTGGAAATTTGTTTCACTCTGTCTTTTTGTGGGTTCTGCTGCTTTAGAATTTGTTTAGAATCATTTTTTACGAGTATTTAGAGGAATTTGAGGGGGAGAGCTCCAGCAAGTCACTGCTTTTACTTTGCCATCTTGGCTCCTTTAAATACTTTTTGTAGGAGTTTGGCTGAAAAGGGAGAAAAGATAGAGGACAGTAGCTTTGAGAGCATGCTAGTAAAGGTTGTTTAGGGATAAGAGAAACTCAGGCATGTTTGAAGGCATGAGGGAAAG